AAAAATCTTTTCGAAAGTGGACTTGAGGGAGGCGTATTACAGGATTAGAATTAAAGAAGGAGATGTGGAAAACCGCTTTCAATTGCCCATTAGGGTGTTACTAATTCAGAGTTTTACCCTTCGGCCTTCAAGGGGCACCTGCAGTATTCATGCAATTAATAAATGATGTGCTCCGAGAGCACCTATATAAAGGGTTGCTTGTTTACCTGGACAATATCCTGATATTCACTGAAACGAAAGAGGAACATGTGAAATTAGTCAGAACTGTACTAAAAAAAAGCTCCAGGCAGCTAACCTGTATGCTAAGCTGTCTAAGTGTGAATTTCATAAGGAAATATTGACTACCTGGAGTATTGCCTCTCGCCAAGAGGCATAGAGATGGACCCTGAAAAGGTCCGAGCTGTACTAGAATGGGCTCTGCCCCGCACCAGGAAGCAATTGCAAAGTTTTCTTGGATTTGCTAACTTTTACCAGCAATTCATCCCCTTCTTTGCACAGATCGCGCTACCAATTACTAACTTGTTAAAGACAAAAGGGGAGGGGAAACCCAAACTGAGTCAGCCATTGAAATGGACAGTAGAATGTCAAATTGCATTTGAAAGGTTAAAAATACTATTTTCCACAGAGCCGGTTCTAAGGCACACTGATACTGAAAACTGTTTTGTAATTCAGGCTGATGCTATGGGGGCAGTATGATTACAAGAGAATGATGAAGAGAATTTGCAGCCTTGCGCATACACATCAAGGAAACTCACAGATACAGAGCAAAGGTGGGTAGTTTGGGAGAAGGAGGCTTACGTGGTCCGATGGGCTCTTCTAACCTGGCAGCACTTCCTGGAGGGGAACAAAATTCCTTTCCAAGTGTGGACTGACCACAAAAACTTGGAAGCACTAAAAAAACCCAGGAAACTGACCCCTAAGCAAGTGAGATGGTCACAACATTTCCACTGGTTTAATTTCACGCTAAAGCACTTGCCGGGGAAAAGTTTTTTCCTAGCGGACGCATTGTCCACACTGCCCCAGTACAATAGCCACCGAACAGAAATAACAGACCCACTTATGCCAACAAAACAATTAGCAGCACAAGTCACCACCCAAGCGCAAGCAAAACTTCAAAAGCCCCTAGTGAGCCAAGCAGGGATTGAATTCAAAAAAGCACTAGAAACCGATGAATGGTGTTGTGGCTCCGTCTTGTGAGCCCCTCTTATCGGAGGAAGAAGGCTCCGAACATGAAGGAGAGGAGATGGCTAGGCCTCCCTCTCTAGGATCCTCCTCTTTGGCAATGCCTCAGGTGTCTTCCGACAGAAAAGAGATTGACCAGGAGCCAGGTGGTTCTGAGATTGGCCAGGAGCCCGGTGTTTCTCAGATTGGCCAGGAGCCAGGTGTGTCGGATAATGAGGAAGAAAAGTTGTGGCTGGATCCACGCCAGCGTAGGAGCGACAAGCGTGCGCAGCAGAAAAAGAGACGTGCCAGAGATTAAGCTGAGTCACTGGACCACACCCCACAGGCTATAAAAGGGTGGTGGTGGCCATTTGGACCTCTGTGATGGACAAAAGCTGAATCTCTGGCGCAGTAGTTTGCTGTGGTTTTAAACTGTGTGTATTGTTTTTGTTTCTGTGTGTTTGGAGTAAAAGGTTTTGGCAGGCAGCTACGGAGCTGCTGCCAAGTTTCTTATCTGTGAAGTGGTGTCTGGAGAAGTCTTTAAACTCTCGGCTGGCTGTTTGGGTGTGTGGGTCGCAACGGGGACAGAACAAATGGTTCCTAAGCCACAAAAACCTATGCACCATGACCGATGGTTTACCATGGGTCAAAGGAAAGCTGTACATCCCAAAGAGTCATAGACTGACATTCATGCAGCTATGCCATGATTCAAAATCAGCTTGACATTTTGGATTCGTAAAAACTTTGCACTTAGTGAAACAGCAGTTTTGGTGGCCGTCAATAAAAAAGGACATTGAAAGTTACATGGCCAATTGTCCAACTTGTGCTGCAGCAAAGAGAATGCAAGGAAAGACCTCAGGCTTGTTGCAACCAATAGCGACTCTATCAGCGCCTTGGAGAGAAATCTCTATGGACTTTATTGTGGAGTTACCAGAAAGTGGGGGGGAACACAGTCATTTGGGTCATGACGGATTCATTCTCTAAACAAGTACATTTTATCCCATGCCAAAAAATCCCCAATGCAAAGACACTTGCAAAGCTGTTCATCCAGCACATTTATCGACTTCATGGAGCCCCACAATGAATCATCTTAGATAGAGGGGTATTGTTCACATCAGAATTTTGGAAAGCATTCCTGGGACTGTTGGGGACCACACAGGGGTTGTCATCTAGTCATCATCTGCAGACGTGGTCAGTTCCAGAAATAGGGAGCTGGCCTGGAGGCCAGTCCCGAGAAAGGGAAGTGGGATGGCTACTGGGTGGCACCAGAATGCTAGAGGTAGGCACAATGTTAAGGTATAAAGCCTGCTTCAAAGATCTGGGTGTTGCCTCTTGGCCCAGCTGTCAGACTTAATGACTGCTAGTCCATGTGGTCCTTATTGCAATGAGTTGTTGAAATGTAAGTACTGAATTTGTATGTTAAATTGAAATAAATCTCTGGATCCTAACGTGAGAATTTTGTTGTGTGTTGTCTCTTGTTTCTTTTTAACAAGTTTTTCCCCTGACACAACGCAGTGCATTCCAGCATGGGCTATACTCCTTTCCAGGTGGCGACGGGACAAAGTTTCAACCCGATGCCGGAACTCGCATCAAACGACCCGACCGTCCCCTCCTTGAAGGAGTGGATCACATAATTACAGAATACCCAGCCAGTCATGAGAAAAGCATTAAATGAAACTAGGGAAGCATATAAATTCCAAGCAGATAAGAAACAAAGAGAACTTAAACCATTTCAAATAGGAGAGAAAGTTTACCTATCAACGAAGTACCTAAAATCCCTGCAACCCTCAAAAAAGCTAGGACCGAAATTTGTAGGACGATTTCCTATTAAAAGAATAATCAATCCTGTCACTGTAGAATTGGAACACCCAAAGACATTCAGACAAGTTCACCCAATTTTCCACTGCAGCCTTTTAAAATGCGAACTGCAATCGCCCTTAAGGCCAGCTGCAGCTCCTTCCCCTCTTCCAATCGTGGTAGAAGATGAACAACATTTTGAAATAAAAGAAATCCTAGATTCCAGAAAACATCATGGTTCCATCCAATATCTAGTAGCATGGAAACACCTGTCACCTTCCCAAAATGAGTGGGTCCAAAAACATCATGTTAGAGCCCCCCCGACTACTTAGTAAATTTCATGCTGCATACCTGGACAAACCAGACTAATCCTTGTCTCCCTTATTTCTGTTTTATTTCTACAGATGGATCTTTCTTTTTTCTAAGGGGGGCAGGATGTCAGAACCCATTTTCCCTGGGGGGGGGAATCCATCTCATCTCTCTCCTATTTCTTTCTTTCTGAGGGTTCTGCCATTCCTCTGAGGGGGAAGGCCGTGGTATGTTATTCTGCTTTGCTACAATGTATCCTTTCTGGGGTTCCTGCATGCTTTGAACTGTCTCTCCCTTGATATTACCTTGCGGTGAGAAAGGAATGTTCCTCCGGCCATCTGGCTTATCTCTTGCTGCGGAAGGGAAGGTGCAAAGACCCAACAATATCTTCGCAAGCATGGGAAAGGACCCCATTATCAGCTCCTTTCCCACAGCGAACTCAACATCTGGGGATTGGCCCATTCAAACTGACCTGATGAACTATTGGGGTGGGGTTTTGCTTGGGACTCTTTTAACCTATTGATCTGAGCGGGAAACCCTCAGATCCTGCCTATCATGCCTGCTATCAGCTTCTCCTAATAAAAGTTCCTTTTGGAAAGAAACTGTTCCAGGAATCCTGCTGTTTTGGGATGAGGTTTTGAAGTGGGCCCTGACAGAGGATATAAGAGGAGGGGGTTTGGCGGGAAGAAGGAGGAGTGAGGGCGGAGAGAAGGTAATAGGGAGGAGAGGAGAGATGCCAGTGGGACAAGTCTGATGGAGACAAGGGGATAGGAGAAGCTTCTGTGGGGCAAACCTGAGAGAGAGAAGGGGACAGTACCTGGCCCTTTGAGGGCAACCATAATGCTGATGCGGCCCTCAATGAAATTGAGTTTGACATTCTTGATCTATGCACCATGTTTAACTGTGGGTATCTGTAGTTAATGCTGAACTGAGAGGAGCCAGGATAGAGAACTGCAATACAGGGAATCCAGATTTCTTTTGCCAGAGCTCTGCTACTTTAAATGATAGCTAATCTGCTTAAAATAACACTTGAATCCTCTCAAATGGCAAACATGATCGTAATTAGAACTAGCCTATGAGTTATTTCTAGACCTCTCTGATTAGACATCAGCATATTTATAAATGCTTTTTTCATATTACTAAGAAGTTTAATAAAAGCTGTTCAATATATTGTTTTACCATCTCTCTCTCTCTCTCTCTCTCTCTCTCTCTCTCTCTCTCACACACACACACACACACACACACACACACACACACACACACAAAAACACTTTTTTCAATTTTTCTAATATTATTAAATCTGCAAACAATATTTTGGCAGAAATACTTATCTATCAAAGAAACCTCAGACAATATCCTGAGAGAAACCATAAATTCTACATGAACAACTTTGTATACTTTAAGAGAATATTGATATCCCGTGAAAATAAGGTGGAAAATAAATATTCTGAGCACAAGTAAATACTTGGGTTTACTGAGCATAAATAAATATTGGATTTGCAAAAGAAGACTGTTTGGGGGGATAATTAAGAAAGAGGAATGAAATACACAAAAGTATGAGTACTCCATTAATAAAAGTCTTTAACAATAAAAAATTTTTATTAAAAAGAATGATAATTAGTAGGAACTTTTAAAAATGGCAGCAAAATATGAAATAATGTTTCTCAATGCTTAATATTAAATAAATATAATTAAATTATATTCAGTGAAGAATCAAAATAGATCATACAAACCTTTTAAATCGTCAGGAAAAATTCTGAAGAATTTTCATGTAGGATAATGGAACTCTTCAGCCTTTTTTTCTAAGAAAACAGGAAGTTTGAGCTGCTTTAGTTATTCATTCAAGAAAGCTTGATCCACAGTAAGTATTGAGATAACCGTGGCCCCTGACTTACATCTGTCTTCTCTGACTGTAATTCCTGTCCTTCTCATCTATATTTGGCAACTGAACTCATGTTTCAGTGAACTGTCACTATCTGAAATTTCAGCATAATAAAATTGAGCCTAGAAAAACAAACAACTTCTATGTTTCAAACTTAAACATTCAAGAAAACTTGAATTGCTGCTGATTATAACAAATTATCATATTCTTGCTGATAACCATGTTCTTATTTACTACTGAAGAATTTTAAAATGTGACACAACTACAGCTGTCTACAGGGAATGTTTTGTATAGTGCTGGCATTAGAAAGCAATTCATCCTTCATGCTTCTTTTTGGAAAACAAAAGAAAGAAATGATATTAGACATGTATCCATTTTTATTCTAAACAACCTTTTACATCTGTAATTTATATTGTATCAACACTCTCACAATAAAAATGACTCAATAAAAGCTTAATTTGTGATATCAGACTGTATAGTAGATTAATGCATGAAACTGACTATGCCTGTAAATGTCTTTTAATATTTTCATAGCTGTGTCCCTTCTTTAACACTGATGTACAACATATGACTTCATTTTAATTTCTGGATCGCTAGTGTTATATACCTGAGAAAAAATCCTGTACTGGAATTTATTTTAGAAGAATGCACTTTTAATATATCCATTTCTTTTGCATTTTTCTCTCTTTTTAGCATAGATTTTTTTTAATTAAAGATGATATTAAACAAGTAAAACAAATTACAATAAACAACTAAAACAAATACAAAACCTAATTTAAAAAAAAGAAAATATATTTATAAAGTGCAGAAATCCCTGTCCCAAATAAAAGAAAAGGAAAAAAATAAGAAACAGAAACTTTCCCCTTCATTCCCAATAAGTATATTCAACACTAACAACTTAGTACTGTCTCTTAAAATACAACCAAACACCTCTTCATTCCATACCTCACCCCATTTTCTATGAACTCTTCAGCTCTCTTTATTAATCAGCAGATATGCAAGTAAAAGTAACAAAAATAACTGATTAATTCCCCCTTTAGGGTGGAAGATCTCAACTTATGACCACAATTGGGATTAAATTTAACAAAGTTATTGTTAAACAAGATGCCCATATGATTCACTCAGTGACCACAATCCTATTACTCCCAGTTGTGATTGTTATACAAACTTCTTGGTTGACCAAGAGAGCTGCCTATCGAAGGATTTCAGCTTCATGCAGAACTGCTAGAGAATTTCAGCTCCATAATTTGTGTTGACAGTAAATGTACATTCAAAAAATATATTATTTCAGTTGAGAATGCTATTGAAAAGTAATACTAAAAGGGGATTGGAAATAGAAAAACCAGTGATATTTATAGGAAGTTGTCCCCCCTTTTTCTATTGGATTTTTATTAGAGAAATCACCTGAGAGTTTATGTCTACATATTTGGAGATGCCCAGTTTGGAGAAACTGAAATAGAATAATAATAATAATAATAACTTTATTACGGTCATAGACCAGCAATAGACATCACTTTTTACAATATATTAAAAAAAAAAAAAAAGTAGTAACATTAATAGTAAATAATAACATCCCTGTTAAGAAAATACACGTTCCCAAAATGTTAGGGTCACTCCTAGTTTACGTGAGTGGATAGCCAGTTAGTGTGTGAGTAAATATAATGTTCCAAACTTTATTAGAGATATCTCCAAAAAATTGGCACAAGTTGACGGCTATAAATCTGTAACAAATTTTTTTCTTGTGGACATTGCCGCAACATAGTATTTTGCCACTGTATGCGTGATAGAAGGGTTTGAGTCCTCAAGGAGAAAGCCTACATAAAAATTGTCTGTCCTCCCTGTCAATCTCTCTAATAAGGGGAGAATATATGCTGTCCTATAAACTTGGTATAACTCACAGTACAATAAAACATGTGAGATGTCGGAACTTCCGGTGGCATCACCGCGCCGATGGCGGCTTTCTTTTAAGCCGTCCGCCTCGGGCCTGTGTGAAAGCTGCAGGAACAGCGCTCAACAGCTGTTCCGCGGCTCAAAGACTTTCTTTCTGGGCATAGGGGAGACGGTGAGACTTTGCCGGATAGAGGTTGAGTTCCCTTGTCCTCTTTTTGGAGGACAAAGGTGAGAACTCCCTCGGAGTCCGGTCTTTCTCCACACCTCGGGATGCCTTTGTTCTCAGGAACAAAGCCAGATGCTGCTACCACTTCTGTCAATTTAAGAGACTGTAAGTAAAGTTATAAACAGACGGAGCTGACCAGGAGGACTGGAAAATTGGATTAATTGTGACTTTAACTCGAATAAAAAAAGTGTCTTCTTCAATTGTTATTTGAATTATAAGAATTTGGAAAAGATGGCTGCGGAAGGGAGTTTCCCTGTTTGATCCTTATGAGACTTTCACTTTTACCTGGCAAAGAAAAGACAGATGAAACAAAGTATCAGTCTTTCTGTCAATCTTAGTTAAGAGCAAGCTTTCTATTCCTTTTCTATTTTTGCTCCATATAAATAACAATTGTTGCTTTTTTGAAATTAAAAGAGAGTTATAAGATGTGATAAAGGGTGAAAAGAATTAAAAAGTAAAAATGGCTTCAAAACGCGCAGGAACTTCTGCTTCTTTGAAAGGCTCAATTTCCTCTCCAGTTGTTCAAACAATGCAACAGCGGAGACCTAAGACCCCTCCACCTTCTCTCCCAGCTGCTGCAATTACACTTAAAGATTTACAGGATGCCATAATGAATGCAGTAAAACAGATTAAAATAGAGACAGAGGAGCTTTTTGAATGAAAAAATGCGGAGATGAGAGAGGACATATTGCTGGCTGTGCAGGGTTTGGCATTTCATGCAGAACGTATAGAGGCACGGGTGGAGGAGGTGGAAGAAAATGTGGAGAGATTGGATTATAGACTTGGAAAAGTGGAGGAAAATGTGGATTCAACTCAGAATGAAGTTATTATGTCACAATATAGAGATATGGAATATGCCTTGAGAATAAGGGGACTGAAGGAGAATGCCCAAGAAAATTTGAAGGAGGAGATTGCAGCAGATTTGGCTTTGGGTTTGTCTTGTGATCCTGAAGAAATTATGAAAGAAATAGAGGAAAATTTTTAGGGTCAATTCATGGGTAGCAAGACAGAGAAACCTACCAAGACATGTTGTAATTTATTTCTCTAGAAGATCAATTCGAAATGAAATCATTCAAGCCTTTTACAAGCAGAGATTCCAAGTTGTAGCACAAGATGTTATAATTTTAAAGGAAATTCCACTTAAAATATTGAGGAGAAGGAAGGATTTTGCCTTTTTGGTTGAAGAATTGAAAAAGCGACAAATACAATTCAGATGGGATATACCTGTTGGTGTACTTGTGAATTATATGGGTACACGTTTCAGATTGAACTCTATTTTAAAAGCAAGAGATTTTTATACTTCAGTTTTGAAAACAGGTTCACCATCATCTCCACGAGCTACTAGAAAGGAAGGAGCGCTTGAGGAACAAATGGTTGAAGGAGCTACATCTTCAGGTGCTACAGATTTACAGGAGAGATCTAAGCAGCAGGCTATTGAGATGAAAGATGATCCGAAGGTACAGAGAATGACCCGTGCAGCCCACAGACGTAAGGAAAAAGAACAGCAAAAAGTTGAAACTGTTTCTATAGTCTATCAAGATTCGGAGCCAGTGGGAGGTGCAAGACCGAAGAGATCGGTGACAGCTGATCTTCAAGGAGTGTTCCAGAGGCTCTCTGCCACTAAAAATGGCAAAGTTTCTGACATGGAATGTTAATGGCTTGAATTCACCACAGAAAAGAAAGAAGATTTTTCATTATCTGAAACAACACAAGAATGATGTTGTGTGCTTGCAAGAAACTCATATTTCTACAAAGGATCAAAAGTATTTGATTAATTTACGGCTGGGTACACACTTTATAGCATCTGCTCCGCAGAAAAAATGCGGGGTAGTTATTTATGTGAGACAAGATTTTATGCCTAAATTGATAGATTCCGATCCAGATGGTAGATATGTGTTTATTGAATTAGTTTTGAATGACAGAAGATGTCTTATTATTGGATTATATGGTCCAAATCAACAACAGAAACAGTTTTATAAGTTGATACATCAAAAAATAAATCAATTGGATTACAAATCAGTTATTATGATGGGGGATTGGACCCTAGTAAAGATAAGAAAGGTTCCTTTAAAGCTTCAAGTTATTCTATATTGCCTAAAACTTTTTTTGATTTGAAGGATGATCTGGAATTAAGAGACATTTGGAGAGAATGAAATATAGAAGAAAGAGACTTTACTTTTTTCTCGGACAGACATCAATCTCATTCTAGAATTGATTTTTTTTAAATAACAAATGATTTCTTTTCTAGAGTGAAGAATATTAAGATTTTTCCTAGAACATTATCAGATCATAGTCTGGTATGGATGGAATTATGGGTTGGAGATGGGAGTAAAAGGACTTGGAGATTAAATAAAAATTTATTTAGATATGAGGGAAATGTGCAAAAATGTAAAGATCAAATGAAAGAATTTTTATTGAATATGTATAAAGACACCTCGATCTCAATGGTTTGGGATGCAAGTAAAGCATATATGAGAGGTGCCCTGATTCATATGAATAATGTTTATAGGCGTAAACAAATGCAAAAATGCAATCAGTTAGAAGAGGAAATTAAATTAAAAGAAAAGGCCTTTATTTTGAATCCACTGGACAATAATTTAAAAGTTTCTATAGCTTTGCTCAGGGAGCAATTCAATATGCTGATGGTGGATCAGACTGCAATTAATTCACATTTTCCTAGATTATTGAATTGTCAGCCAGTCCAATGGTCAGAGTTTCAGGGTTTCCAAGCAGAAATCACAACACCAAACAAGAGATCAGAGAGTTGTTTCCAAGATCAACAACAGCACACAAAACTCCAAGAAATCAGCATTTGTTCCCGACAAATGCCCCTCCCCATAGCATCTCCTTAAGTCTCAGTCTCTAGGTCTGCCTTGTGGAGAGGGGTGGAGTGCTCTCCTCCCGAGTAGTTGAGCCTGCCTGCATTATTCCCTCCTTCTCTCCACTCTCCATGCTCTAGGATCAGGTGGGGGTGGCCCTTGCTCATCACCTGAGCTCTGTCTCTTGTGTTCATCCTGCCCCAATCCTGAAAGGCCCTGGCCTGCCTCAGCCTACTCTTCCCCACATTCCTCTGAAGCCACAGACACCTCTCCCTTGACCTCCATAGGGTCCCATTCCAGCTCATTTTCCTCAGCAGATTGAGGCTCTGACGGAGGCATGGTTGGTGGGTCGGTGACATAGAAGCACCTCTGATTCCTTTTCACTAAAAACCTCAGCTAAGATGCAATACTTTGCTGGAATTAGTGGCTCTAACCCACCATCTCTTCTTAGTGTATTCACAGTTTCTGCTTTCACTTTTGTAGCTGCAGGCATGTGGGCAACTTATTGCACTTTCCCTGGCTCTTGCCGATTAGCAGCTCTCCTTCACATCTGCCACCTTTCTCTACCCCAGCTCACAGAGGGGCTCCACTTTTTCCACCACACTAGTCCTAGGACCATGGGCTCAGTCATCCTGGGGACTACAATAAACTGAACAGTCTCTACTTGAGCCCCACTTTGAGCCAAACTGGCTCAGTTAGGCAT